TCTTTCTTTCTTTCTTTCTTTCTTTCTTTCTTTCTTTCTTTCTTTCTCTTCCTTCCTTCCTTTCTTCTTCCTTCCTTCCTTTCTTCTTTCTTCTTTCTTTTTCTTTTCTTTTCTCTCTTCTCTCTCACATAGAATATCATACCCTTACTTGTGGAGGGCTCTGCCCAAAGGGAATGTAAATTTTAATCTCTAAACCTTTTTATTCTCTGTAAGACCAGCCTTAACCTCAAATCACTGGTCCCTGATCAAGCCCTACTTGGTCACTGTGTGAGCCCTGAGTGGCTCAGAATGAATGTAAATAACAATTGTTTCTGTTTTGGCCAGAAACCCTGGGGGTCTTCCCTTCCCAGATCCATTTTTTTTTTAAAGAGGTCGTTCTTTGCCTCTTTGAGATCTGTTAAAGACCTTAGCTTGGAAAGACCAAGGTCCCCCACTGCATCTTGGGCCATCTCCAGTTGTCTTAATCCTTATCTGGCCGCTAGACCCAGATGACTCTGGAGGAGAAAATGAGGCTGGTGACTTTGCACAGCCCTCCCTCACTTAAATCCAATTCGCTTGCATGTCATGGTCTCACCTCATTGATGTCATGGTCCTGTTAGAGAAGGAAGGACACACAGTAGTTTCCTACCAAAGTCATCTAAAGCACCACTTCTACATACAAATTTCCTGATTTCCCCAACTCACTCCCAGCTGCAAGGACTTCTCAAATGACTTTGCATTTATTTGTATTACTGTTGTGATAAAATGAGCAGAACATACAATTTTAAGGTATAGATCAGTTAGGTAAGATTTATTGTTATTATAAACTATGTCAGGAAGAAGTCAGTTAACTGACAAATTTTCTCTGCAGCCAAGTGAACTCAGCATGCTATATCTTATCTGCATGTCGTATGGAAGCAAGAAGAAAAAAATATAGTCAGTCTGGGTTTGAGTCAGAGTAGATGCTTACTTATCTGTCAATGACTTGGATGAGTGGAGAAGGGAAACCTTTTTCTTTATGGTTATTATTTCAGAAAAACTGAGGAAGGGGAAAAATCATTAGCATGTAGTGGGGAATGAATGAGACTGCTTATTTTGAATTGAAATAGCAATTAGTTTAAAGATGGAGTGACTCATGCAAAGAGAATGCATATACAGACCGCTTCTTTATTTTTCTCCACAATACTAATATGTACACACTGATAAATTGTAAGCAACTTGAAGGCAGTAATGACTGCATTTTTATCTTTGTGGTAAGTTGAGGAAACTGATTTCCTTTTAAGTCCATGAGTCTGAGACCAGAATGGAAAGACCCTGACTTTCCCATTTTAGTTTATGTATCTGTAAAAGGAAAAATACTCCTTTTCTAACTATTCTTTTCCATGAACTATGGTCAGAAATTTTCTCCTCTTTACCTGAAGATCTGGAAGGGATCCAGATAGAGGCTAAAAGATGGTTGGAGGCTATTGTATCCATAAAGGAGTGTTCTAGTTTTTTTTTTTTTTGTAATGTTACTTTGTGTAAAATAAATAATAAAGTCACAACAAACTAAGTCTTTGAATCTATGAATTCATTGAGAAGTGAAGTTGAATTCACTGTGGTATAGGGAATCTGAGCTAGTTACTGGCAGCAGATTTTATATTTTGATATTTAAAACCCCAAATAAGGAAAGGAAAAAAAAGATTTTGCCATGGAATTGCATTATAGGAAGAGATGAGCTGACCACACGACAAGAGCAAAGATGAAAACTGTATTGCCAGAATCTCTGCTGGTTCTCTCCTTTTGTCAGAAGGAAATGAGAAAGGTATCCAGCATGTTGGGTGGACCTCATCTGGTAAATTTATGGGAGGACATAGACAAGAGTCACACAGGATGGACAGCTATGGTTAGGTTGCAATGTGTATCACTAGAAGGGACTTTCAAATCAATGTAATCACAGGTCCATTTGAGTAGTTGAGAATTCTATCCCTTAGATTAAATATAGTCCCAGCCCAAAAGGGATTAACTGAAGCTGCTTTACAACCATCTATGTTGTGCCAGGAAGATTCTGAAGGTAATTCTATTAAATATTTAAACATCAATTAATTCCAATACTATATGAAATGTTTGTAATAATAAGAAACTAAGGCTCCCTTCCAATCTCTTTCTATGATATAAATAAAGTTTTGACACCTAAATCAGGGAGAGACAAAGCAGAGAAAGAAAACTACCAACTAATATCCCTAATGAACTTTGATGTGAAAATTTTAAATAAATTGTTAGTAAGTTAGCTATAACAACTTCTTAGAAAGATTATACATTATGACCAAGTTGGGTTCACACCAGGAAAGAAGGTAATAAATTTAATAAATAATAAAAATTATTATATTAATACATAACAAAAGTTTTTTTTTTTACAAAATCTAGCATTCACTTCTATTAATTCTAGAAATGATAGGAATAAATGATTTTTTCATTAATGTGATAATTAGTATTTATCTAAATCCAAGAACATTGTTTGTAATAGAAAAAAGTTACATACATTTCCTACAAGATCAGGAGTAAAGAATGGATGCCCATTATCACCACAACTATTTAACATAATGCTAGAAATTCTATCTATAGTAATAAGACAATAACTAGAAATTGAGGATATAGGTAAAAAGGAAAAAGAGTTGTGATTTTTGCAGATGGCATGATGATATA